TTCCAATTCCAATATATATTTTTTGAGATGGGGTGGCCATATCTGCATGCAGTATTCAAGATGTGGGCGTATTAGGGATTTATATAGAGGCAATATGATATTTTCTGTCTTATTATGTAGACCTTTTTTAATGATTTCCAACATTCTGTTCGCTTTTTTGACTGCTGCTGCACACTGAGTGGATGTTTTCAGAGAACTATCCACAATGACTCCAAGATCTCTTTCTTGAGTGGTAACAGCTAATTTAGACCCCATCATTTTAGATGTATAGTTGGGATTATGTTTTCCAATGTGCATTACTTTGCATTTATCAACATTAAATGTCATCCGCCACTTTGTTGCCCAGTCACCCAGTTTTGTGAGATCCTTTTGTAGTTCTTCGTTGTCTGCATGAGACTTAACTATCTTGAGTAGTTTGGATTCATCTGCAAGTTTTGCCACCTCACTGTTTGCCCCTTTCTCCAGATCATTTATGAATATATTGAATAGGACTGGGCCCCATACAGACCCCAGGGGGACACCACTATTTATACCTCTCTCCATTCTGAGAACTGACCATTTATTCCTACCCTTTGTTTCCTATCTTTTAACCAGTTACTAATCCATGAGAGGACTTTCCCCGCTTATCCCATGACAACTTACTTTCCTTAAGAGCCTTTGGTGTGGGACCTCGTCAAAGGCCTTCTGAAAACCTAAGTACACTATATCCACTGGATCCGCCTTTTCCACATGCTTGTTGACACCCCCAAAGAACTCTAATAGATTGGTGAGGCATGATTTCCCTTTAGAAAAACCATGTTGACTCTACCCCAACAAATTATGTTCATATATGTGTCTGACAATTTGGTTCTTTACTGTAGTTTCAACCAGTCTGCCCAGTACTGAAGTCTGGCTTACCGGCCTGTAATGCTGGGATCACCTCTGGAGCCCTTTTTAAAAATTGGTGTCACATTAGCTATCCTCCAGTCATTTGGTACAGAAGCTGATTTAAATGATAGGTTACAGAATACAGTTAGTAGTTCTGCAATTTCACATTTGAGTTCCTTCAGAATTCTTGGGTGAATATCATCTAGTCCTGGTCACTTATCACTGTTTAATTTATCAATTTGCTCCAAAACCTACTCTAATGACACCTCAATCTGGGAGAGTTCCTCAGAGTTGTCACCTAAAAAGAATGGCTCAGTTTTGGGAATCTCCCTCCCATCCTCAGCCATGAAGACTGATGCAAAGAATTCATTTAGTTTCTCCACAATGGCCTTATTGTCCTCGGGTGCTCCTTTAGCATCTCGAATGTCCAGTGGCCCCACTGGTTGTTTAGCAGGATTCCTGCTTCTACTGTACTTATTTTTTCTGCAATAACTTTTTGAGTCTGTGGCTAGCTGTTCTTTTATGGTCTTCCTAATCATATTTTCACACTTCCTCTCAGGCCTATGGCTTTCTTATGCTTTTGTATTGGCAGAGTAGCCTACAAAACTTTTGCAGTCTTCTCTGCAGCAGAGTTTAACAGTCTGCACAATGAGCAACTAAACTGAATGCAATGAAGTCACCTGACACATTCTTTCCTAGTTTCTTCTTTGGCATCTCTGCAGTAAACTCTTGCCCAGCTGACTTGATTCAGAAATTTGCCAGAAAGAATGGCTTACGAGTTTAAGATTCAAATTTGAAATCCAACACTCCACAGAACCACAGATTACAATCCTGGCAGGACCAGCAAAGCTTTTTATCCTTCTGGGTTAGAAAACTACCATTCATAGGAAAGGGGTCTTTCAGAAGACACATTTGCAGATCAGACAAAAATTAAAATTGACAGAGAATCTTTAGTAAGAGTAGGGGTTTGCCCTAGTATCTCTGCCCCAAATTTCTTCTCTTCCCTTCTCCAAACTGTTTTGCAGTCTGCTATGTGTTGGCTAGTTGCTAGCCTCAACCTTGGCAGTTCAATTTAGGGGATCTCTATAGTATGCACATAATTTGTGAAGTCCTTTGGGATGAAAACAGCAATATAAAAGTAAACATTACTCCATTGTTTTTACGCTTTACTGGGGACATGGAAATCATTGCTGTCAAGTGATTTAAGATCAGGATGTGGAGCAATGAGTTTTCATGTGGACTTGTAAAGCCAAGAGCTAACCTCTACTCTTTTTTCTAAAGAGTTTTAAACCAAGCTATTACAATTTATTATTTGTAATTCAGTGGCAACTAGAGATCCCAATCAGATTTGGTGCCTGCTCATAGTAGGTGCTCTATAGAGAATAGAAAAGTAGCTCCTGCCCTGAAGAGTTCACAGTCTGATCTACTCAAATATTATTATTCCTCTTGTGCTTTCTGAACAGCCTGACCACACAACGCCTATGAAATACAAAACTAAATCCCATGATTTGTGGTGCTACCCCAGCCTCATTTGTCTTGGAAGCAGAAAAGAGACAACACATTTTTAAGTTTGTATGTAAAAAGGCTGTCCTGTCTCTTGAACTTTTCTGTCTCTGCTGGAATGATAATACTTCCCAGTACTGACAAAGGACTGGTGTTAAAATACTATTGTAATCCCCACCACATCCTGGACTGCCTTGGTCAGCAAAACATCTAGGTCACCACATTTAACGTGACAAACTGCAGCTGGCATATAACTAAAATCACTTGTATGTACAAATCTATTACGAATAAGAATTACCAAGATGAGTTTGCTCCTATTGTTTTTACTCAACACAGCAGTAATACAAATAAATAATTGATTACAAGTCAATGTCTAGACGAGAAATACTTTGCTTTAAACTCATCAGTGAGTTCATTTGTCAAATTATTATTATTGGGCCCATAATCTGGGTCACTGCCCAGGATACTGACCAGGCCTGGTAGTATACACTCTAATACACGGCCAAAAACTGGGTTACTGGAGGGAAATGAACAGGAACAGCATATCAGATAAAAATTCTTTTAATAAAAATGCAAAGAGCTGATTTATTGAATGTTCCCTCCCCACCCCGCCAATCATATAGAGAATGAGCCCTGCCAGTAGGAAACCAGGAATATATTCAAATAATAAGAACATTCTTAGGCTAAAGGCCTGAACTGCTAGCGGGAGACATACATCCAGCAGACAGACAGAAGAGACAGCTAGCCCTTTGTCAGTCACATCAGCTCAGGATTCAGACATGTAGATAAATTTATTCTTTAAGGGCCTGATACAACTCTCAGTGAATTGGAATTCAATGAAAATACTCCCACTGACTTCAATAGGAGATAGATAAAACCTCAAATTATTCCTTCTGGCTAGGTGATACCCTGTGGAATTAGTCTGAGAGCTGGACACATGTGTGGAACTGTCCAGAGAAACCCCGTTTCACCCAGAATCATGTGCATGGAGGATATTTGACAGCTTTCTTCTGATTATAAGAGAATTAGGGCTGCAGGGTGGGAAAGTCATCTTTGTGAATTTCTGTAGTGTTCACTTTGAGTAACAGCTTGCATCTATGAGGAGAAATCAGGAGGGAATTAGCTGGAGAGATGCCATCTTACATTGATAGAGGGCTTTATTTGCAGTTTTGCTTGAACAACCATTTCTGGGATTCAGAGAGTAGTAGATACAGTTCTTCCAATAAATGACAGAATATTTTTGGGAAGATAAAGTCATTATTGTAGAAGACTGAAAAGCAACCATGTGAAGTTCCTTTTAGCGAAAGCAGAAAAATTTGCCACATCACAGGAAAAAAGAAACCAGATACTGTGTTTCATCTTTTATCACTTAGTTAACCTGAAATCTAATCTGTTCATAAGAAATATTTGGAAAGGCTGGAAAACATTCAGTTCACTTTCTCACTTCTTTAAAACTCAAACGAAGAAATGCCTTACAGAATTTTCTCCCCTTATGTTTTCTTGGCACCACTTTATAATAGGCACTCACTCATTTCTAATTCCTGTGGCCTTTGCTGAAATGACATTAATCATTACAAACTCTGAGGCCCTATTCACATTGAATAGCCAAACCATGTTTCAGAATTGTGTTCTCACTCTAAAATCATAAGAAGATAGGGTAATGTTTATCTCTTCAAGCATGGTTGTAACTCAGTCTGGCCCTATACACACTGGCCAACCAATCTGTTCATTGAGCTACTGTTTCCAAACTGAGTTCCAAGCAGAGCATGGATGGGGTCCTTACCATGCAGATAGCAGAGTTCCCAGGGAATTACGTATGCCATCTCCCTGCTAACAGCTTTGAAATAGAGCTGTCACTTTGCAGTGGAATACAGGACCAATCTAGGACACCACGCACATAGTGATCAGGGCCACTCCCTCCTGTGATCTTTGAGGACTACTTTTTCCTCTTCCAATTGTATTTTGGGGACTCATCTCAGTCCCTCTTTTTCACTTACAACAGCTCTGCATGGGTTACTGAAGCCCCAGAGCCTACTGCAGTGAACTTCACAGGCCCAGTGAGAGGCTAGGGATGAAGATCTGCTTGGTGGTGGTGGAAAGAGATGGTGAGAGGAAATATTTAAATGATCATTTGCATGAGCCCTCTCTACACCCGTCCAGATCACACAAGGATCAGTTGAGTCAGTGCAAACTGGGCATATAAAAGTGTGTTTCGTGCTGCTGTGTAAAGCAGGACCAAGATTTAGGGAGTTTTAATATTGATCTTAACGGGAGCAGAGTTAATCTAGTGTCAAGTGTTTTTGCAAATCCCGCCCATACACTGAAGAACTGCTTTCAGTAAACATAATAGCCAAGAGGCTTTTTAAATTGTATACAGGGTTTGTGTAAAAGGTCTGTTAATCAAAACTTTTATTTGTCTTTTTATTTCTCCTTTTATATTATTCCTTTGATTTTTAAACTCATCGCTGCTCGTGATGGAGAATAATGTAGATGGATCCAAGACATATCACTGTAATGTAATTTGAAAACCTGGAGATTTCTTTATTGCATTAAGCAGACATTAACAGATAGCAAATGAAAAAGAAAAGGGTGAGATTTTATTTTTAAAAAGGTCTTAAAATTATACTCACTGCTTGTAGAGGACATGCGGCTGTACTCAGATCTGCAAGACAAAAATCTTAGTTCAGCAGGGCTGTACTATGTTTAAATCTTTAAAGATCATACACAAATTTGGCAAAGGAAACTACTGACTTAATTTAATTTGCTTTATACCAGTGGTTCTTAATCGTTACTGCAGCCTGCACCCCTTTGGTTCTCAAAATATGTTCTCGCACCCCTTCTCAAAAATCATTGAAATAGGTCAGTTCTTTAAACCTAGGTATTTTCTTTGTTTGTATATTACAGTAATTGTTAAAAAATGTATAATGTTAATAAATACATAGGTTTGATGAAACAAAGTAGTTGTACTTACGTGCCTGTGCTTAATTTGTGTTTTCGATGATTTACCTTTACAAAAATCTGACATGTCTCGCCCCTCGAGAAAGGGCATCTGGCACCCCCAAGGGGTGCGTGCACCCCAGGTTAAAAACCACTGCTTTAAACTGTCAAACTGCTTAAAACCTACACCAGTTATTTTTATAGTAAAATAGCTCACTATGGAAATTATTCTGAATGTGCCCCAGGATAGCGGACATTCTGCAGGAATGTTAAAAATATCCATAGAGACTACATAACTACGGAAGAAACTCTTTTTGAGGCTGTAACTAGTTTTCCAATACTGCTGGAATTTGATCCTCCTCCCCATCCAATGTCTAATATCTCCAAAAATGCTTTGCACCTGAAATTTCTAATGTGCATTCTGTAGACAGAGGAGAAACTGAATTGTCCTTTGCACAAAGTTTGAAGGAAACCGTAAAATTGATCTTAGAGATATGATTCATTGAAGAATGAGGTTTTTACCTTTTGGAGAAGTCTTTTCTGTCTCTTTTTTTCCTTCTTTATGTCATATCTCAGAGACTCAGTCTAGAAGTTCCTCATTAGTTTTATTCAATTTATTGTCCACAACAAGAACTAGTGCTGTTCAGTATTTTGAAGAAGGCTAGGTAGTTAATTTTGCAGCTGTTCACTATATAACTCTGAACCTTTGAAAATTTTATTCATTCCTGAAGGAGCTAATAAACTTTTATGGTTACCAATTAATCTGAGATTTCATTTTACAAATCAAAATATAAGCCCTTTTTATTGTGAGCTGGGGCTGAAAGTTTGTCAAAAGAGATTTTTAATAGAAATCACAGGTTATTCACAATGTGTTGACAACTCTCAATTTTGTGATATTTTATGCTTTTCTTAAAGCTCCAGATTTTGGAGGCAAGTGAGTATATGAGACTCTCAGCTTTATTTTTCAAAATAAGTAAATTCCTAGCCCTCATGTCTGCAGAGAAAAAGCTTTAAAAAAGTTAATCAAAAGACATATGACAAGCACTGATAACTTGCTCACGGAATAAACAAAAAACCCTCAGAACAGTATGTTGCTGTCTTTTTCCAATAATGATAGCTAGCTGGAGTACTTGAGTTCTGGAGCTCTTGCAAATATTTTAAGCATTCTAGGTATTATACAAAATGAACAATCACTTTGACAGGTCTTAAATTTAAACAAGTTAAATATAGAAGTAAAAATATCCTAAGTCATTTAGCCCCAGCTTCCTAGAATGTTGTTTTGTTCCTGCTAGTTCATGTTCTCATCCCCATTTTAAATGTTCCAAGTAACAGAGCCTCTACCAATTCCCTCGGGAAAGTGTTCCGTGGTCTGTGTTCTGAACATAGATTGGGGGAGGGATTCAAGAAGCGACTAGTGGAGCAGTAGCAGCTGTTATAGGGCTTTATCCTATGTTCTTTGAAGTCAGTGGCAAAGCTATCATTGACTTTAATGGTGAAGTATCAGGGCCACAGTCTTGGGCAGTACCAGGGACAGAGGCAGGGCTTTGTAGCAGCATTACTTCTGCATTTTTTAAATGAAGGATGTTACCTTTTAAAGGTGAAATGGAAGGGGAAATTCAGGCAAGAATGGGTAAGGAGGATGCATCTCTTATACAGAATCATTTTCAGACCCTCCAGGTATCTTAGGGGGAGGTAGTGGAGTAACAAAGGCTCTGAAGCAAGGTGTGGTATGAGTGTGTGTGAGTGTGAAGGGTTGTTCCACTCGCTGTCCAGTCATTGTTTCTATTTCTAGGTTTAACTGCCCCTCCTCCCTCCCATGTCTAAAAAGTCTCCTTCTCCAGGGCTTCTTTATACCAGGAAAAAAAGTTATAGAAGAGCTGACAGCCCACCTGCTACCTGCTTTCTTTGCTTGCCCAGCACTGGCATGATAACACCTATTGTACTGAGATTTTTCCCGACCCCCTTTTACCTAGGAACTATTCTTTCACATCACAGTTATGCCTAAAAAACTTCTTCTCTTCCTTAAATAGACACATAGGGGAAGAGCATGGTATAGTGATTTAACTACAGGCTTATGAGTCAGGAGAAATAGGCTCTATTGTTGACTCTGACACCAGCTTGCTGTGTGACCTTGAGCAAGTCACTTAATTCCTGTGGATCAGATTATGATTTCAGTTACATTGGTATAAATCCAAACTAACTCCACTGGATTTCCACCAGAGTAACCAAGATCACTGCATTAGCGTAAGTGATAACACTGCATTTTAATGGAGTTAGTTTGGATTTCTACCAGACAGAGTGAGTTCAGAGCATGACCATCTGTGTCTCAATTTAACTACTACAAAGGGATGTTTACTAACATTTTAATAGTTTTGGAGAGCCTCTGGTAGCAGTATTATTCCTGTGCTTTAAGCTGCCATTTATAATCTTTTAAATACAGTGGAATAGCAATAACCACACCAGTATGTGCCACACCGCTTCTGCTGTATTTCTCAGGTGGCTGAAGGCACGATGCTTACCTGCCTAGGATTTTGTACCTTGTTCTTTAAAGGGTAGTACACCAAAGGAATGAACCACTAACCAATAATGCATACACTGTTCTGGCTCAGTTATAGTAGATGTCAGTACAGATCTCCCTGCTAGCAAAATTTAGTCATTAAAGTCTAGGTAAAAGTTGCTTTCAAGGACCATATCTATAATAATATACTAGCAGGTTTCTCTACTGAGATATGAAAGAGCACATTGGAACTTTTGCACTACATTGGTGATGTCTGGTGGCAGAAATCATTTCAAAACCAATGTAGTGCAAAAGGTCCATTTTATATATTTGAATACTCAAATCACAGATGAATTCTGTACAGTGCCATGACAAGAGTGATATATATGATGTGAAAGTTACAAAAAAACCTAAAGGTAAAAACAGTCCTTAAAAACAGGTTACAGCAGCAATGGTTTCCTTCTCCTGAGAGTTACACATAAATGGACGCGATATATGATGGGAGACTGACATCTGAAGAATGAGCCAAATCAGGTAGAACAGGGGTTCGCAACCTTTCAGAAGTGGTGTGCCGAGTCTTCATTTATTCACTCTAATTTAAGATTTTGCGTGCCAGTAATACATTTTAACGTTTTTAGAAGGTCTCTTTCTATAAGTCTATAATATATAACTAAACAATTGTTGTATATAAAGTAAATAAGGTTTTTAAAATGTTCAAGAAGCTTCATTTAAAATTAAATTAAAATGCAGAGCTGGATGGCCAGGACCCAGGCAGTGTGAGTGCCACTGAAAATCAGCTTGCGTGCCGCCTTCGGCACACATGCCATACGTTGCCTACTCCTGAGCTAGAAGGAAGAATTTAATCAGAAAAATGTGAATAATTGGGAATCATTTATGAACATCCTAGAGATGCCAAAAAATGCCACAATCAAGGAAGAAGGCCATAGTGGTTTTAAAAAATGACCTGGTTAAGAGGGGAAGTGAAGGCAGCTATAAATATATAACAAATGGAAGAAGGTGAAAGTTGATAGTAATGAATATTAATCAAGTAAGAATTGTAGAAAATTGATAGATGAAGCAAAGGGACACAAAGAGAAATCTATGGCCAGCACAGTTAAGGACAATAAGAAAGAGTTTTTTTAAATATATTAGGAACAAAAAGAATCCTGACAATGGTATTGGTCCATGACTAGATGAAAATGGTAGACTTAATAATAATGCAGAAAAGGCAGAAGTGTGCAATAAATATTTCTGTTCTGTATTTGGGGAAAACAGATGATATAGTCTTATCATATGGTGATAAGAATACTCTTTCCATTCCACTAGTATTTATGGAGGATGTTAAATAGGAGCTACTAAAGTTAGACATTTTTAAATCAGCAACTCCAGAACACTTGCATTCAAGAGTTTTAAAAGAGCTGCCTAATGAGCTTGCTGGACCATTCTGTTAATACAAAATACTTAGGATCACAGGACATTGTGATAAAAAAAAAAAAAAAAACTAGAATATACAATTAATAGGGCACTAATTAAATGGATTAAAAACTTGCAGGTCTCAAAATGTAATTGTAAAGGGGGAATCATCATTGAATGGGTGAGCTGGGTTTCAGCCCAAATGTTTACAATGCTATTTTTAGCCCTGTAACAGAACCTGAGAGCTCAACTCAGTTGACCCAGGCTGAGACTCTCTGCTGTGGGTTGTTGTTTTTTTTTCCTGTGTAAGATGTATCTTAACACACAAATGTACAAATTCATAAGTGAGTATCTCTAAGCTGAGCTGTGTGGCACCAAAAATAAATAAAAACTCATGAAACTATTTATTTTATTTTAAGCATCAAGGCTAGGGTTACCATTCATCCGGATTTACCCGGACATGTCCTGCTTTTTGTGTTAAAAATAGCGTCCGGGGGGGAATTTGTAAATCACTAAA